GTCGCCTTGAGGCCGCACTGCACGATGGCCAGCGGCGATGCCGCCATCACGAAGGACATCACGCCGAAGGCGATCATCGCCCCGGCGCAGGCCACCATGTAGGCCGGCTGGGTCACGATCTCTAACAGCGGCCGCTGCGGGCCGGCCGCCTCCTCCGACTTCACCTGCGGGAATTCGATGAAGCCCAGCACGATGAAGACGAGGACGTGGATGAAGATGACCGAGACGAAGCTCGCCTGGAAGAGCGGCAACCAGAGATCCGGCGTGAACCGCGCCAAGGTCGGACCGATGATCCCCGCCAGCACGCCGCCTGCCGTGACGTAGGAAATCGCCTGCGCGCGGAAGTTGCCGGGCGCGAGCTCGACCGCGGCAAAGCGGTAGAGCTGCATGTTGGCGATGCCATAGCCCAGGAACAGGCCGCCCAGGCACATCACCGGAAAGCTGCCGAGGCCCAGACCGATCGCCGCCAGCGACGACCCGACCATGCCCATCAGCGAACCGCTTCGGAAACCGAACTTGCGGCCGCGGCGCATCATCAGCAGCGACGCCGGGAACACCGACAGCATGACGCCGAGGTGCTGCATGGTGACCGGCAGGTTGGCCCACATGCGCATGTCGGGCGAAACGATGGTCAGCACCGCCAGCGCCGAGGAAGCGAACATCAGCGTGTTGCTGCTCTGCGTCAGGGCCTGGCAGATCGCCAGCAAGGCGATGTTGCGCATCGACCGAGGCGGCATGCGGCCCTCGGAAGAGGCGGGTGTTTCCTGTACCTTGATCGAACCGTCCATTGGCGCGGCACTCTAGTCGCGCGCCCTGCCCGCGCCATGGCGTGCAGCGCAGTGCAGCTATGAGAAGGTGTTCTTCTCTAGAAGTGAACGTATCCCTTGCGGAGCGCTGCGACGGGCCGCCCGCCTGCCGTCAGCGCGACGCCGGTCCCCAGGGCAAAGCGTCCGATGCGCGTGACCTTCACGCCGGCAGCCCGGGCGGCCGCCTGCAGCGCGGCGGCCTTGCGCGCCGGCACCGCCATCACGAGTTCGTAGTCGTCGCCTCCGCCCAGGACGTTCGACCAGAGCCGGGGATCGCCCGACACCGCCACCCGCCCCGCCGCCGATAGCGGCACGTCATCCCGCTCGATCGTCACGGCCAGCCCCGAGGCCTGACCGATATGTCCGGCGTCGGCCAGCAAGCCGTCCGACACATCGGCCGATGCCGTCGCGATGCCGACCAGGCGCGGCCCCAAGGTGGAGCGCGGTTGCGGC